TGGCTGGGAAGGTTGCAAATGGCGATCACGTGACCTCAGGATGCTGCAACTGTCATAAGTGTGAGCTGGTTGCCACGCACCCAGATTGCGATCACGTGGCCACGGGGGTGCTGTGACGGTTGTAAGTGCGAGGACCAGTTGTAAGTCCCTTTGTTCAGCACCATTATAACTTCAAATGGTCACTAAACAAATGGTTGTTAGGTGAGGATTACCTGTATAGTTATGTTGCAAACACTCCACTCTTAAGATAAAGAATGATGCAATAGAGCTGTGTCAGTCACTAGCTCTTGGCACTCAAAATCTGGCGCTGTGCTTTGAAAGGGGAGATTTGATACAGACTGTGCAAATAATTCTGTTTGGAAAGCCTTTCTTGTTTGTTCTTGTTCCTACTTTGCATTCATTTTTGGGGATACTTAAACATTGTGTTCTCCAGCTGCAATTGAGAACTTTAGAGTGATGGTTAAGTATTGCCTGGCTTAAGTTACTGTTTCCTCCACAAAGAATAATTAAGTTATTTTGAAGAATTGTGTTTTGTAGTGTGCTATTTATCAAAGAGGTGTTTGTTCTTGAAATCTCTTGACAAAGCTAATGATAGACAAATATATGCCTCATTAATAATTTTGGATTAATGGATACTCTGATTCTTTCACAGCATTGATATCAGATTTTCAAGCTGAGAAAGCTAAAACAATATGATTACGAGGCTATTACTTATTTGTGAATTTTTTAAAAACTTACATTTGGAATTAAACAGTCCAATTTCTCCATCAGAAGTGCAACTCTCTAGCCCATATTAATTCCATGTTTGCTGGACTTAAAGTTATGTTTACGTAATTCTAGCAGATCAAGGATAAGAAAAAAGGACAATTAAAAGCAAAGACTTCAGCTTACCGGAAATCTTATTTTGCAATTTCTCTGGTTGCTGAGGTTTCAACAAGTGTTGCCTCTGCAGTTGAAATATCTTTACAGCCACAAGGCCTAGAAATTTACTGTTTCAAATATAAAAATAGAATATAAAATCTGTGATTTTTTTTCAAAGATGTCTTTTTTCAAAGCCCTCTGCATTCTTTAGTTGTTTGTATTCATGCAGCCTTAAACTTTGCATTCCATATTTAAGCCTATAAGGCAAA